TTTTTTTTTTTTTTTTTTTTTTTTTTTAAAGCTCTTGGTGCTAGACATATTCCTAGGCTAGCACCCTTTTCATATCACGCTGACTTTTTCAAAGAAGAAATAACTGTACCCTGAGGCAAATTCTCATTATCCTGTACAGACTACATCACACGTTGAATTTGCCCTTGTGACTTACAGCCTTTAGGAAGAAGTAAATCAGCATTTGCACAAGTCTCCCCCTTCCTTTCTCAGGAAATATTAATTGGACAACTCTAATAGTCTTTCAAGAGTACAAGCTTCTGATAAAGGGAGTCACACAAAATTCTCTGGCAGCCTTCTGAAGGAAGGTCAACTAGCCCAGTCTCCATTTGGAGAAAAGCTGTCAAAACAAGCCTGTTCTTTCAACATTTTCTACTAAAATCTCACATAAAATATTGCAAAAAAACTTAAAGAAATTTCTTCAAAAAATTTCCGCAGCAGAGGCCTAACCTGATGTTACTTCCTCCAGAGCAGAAGAGGAACAGCAGCGTGGGCAGGGATGTTCATCTGGGTAACAGCAGCACAAAGCAAGATGGGAAACAAGCAGGGCTGCTCCCTGGGGGATAACAAGCCAGGAGCCAGCAGTGACCCCAGTACAGGTGGTGACAGCCCTCACAGGTGATGATGCCATCCCACAGCACCTGAGGAGGGCAGTGACCAGCTTTAGCCAGCTGTCCTGTGACAACATGAGGTGACAATTCAGGTCTGGTGTCTGTCCAGGAAGGCAAGGCAAAACCAGCAGGAGACAAGGCTGGAAGCAAGGCTCCAGCAGAAGCTGAGGCTCCAGCCATGAAGCCCAGCCAGCAGGAAGCAAGGCTGGTGATGGTTTGTCCACAACGTGGCTTAAGCAAGAAGTGGGGCTGAGGGAGCTGAGGAAGCTCCTGGGCCATGGGCAGAGAGGGTAGGTTGGGGTCCCAGGGCCTAGTCATGACTTCTATGAACTGTTGGTCCTCTCAGGTCTTGACAGCAACTATTCTGTGGTTTTCAGTATTTGGACCAGAGTATCTGTAGTGATTCGTGGATGCTGAGCCAACTGAGCTAACAGGTCAACGGAAGAAAACGTAACACATCGTATTTGACAAAACTATACTCTTTGGAATTATTGAATTACTATATCCAATTTAAAGAACAAATCCTGGATGACCTAATAATGGAGTAGCAGCACTGTGACAAGAACAAGATGACAAGACGACAGCTCCAGTATTCCTGGCACTTGCAGACTAGTAGCATAAGCTACTTTAGAGAGCATGGGAAGGAGATAAAGCCATAATTACTTTTTGTCTGAAAGCAGATCTGCAGCATTGAAGCATGTCATCTCCCAGTACACCCCTCAGTTCTCATCTCTGAACTTTCCACAGTGCCTAGATGTTACTTTGTTCTCTAGCTCTCCTTTGCAGAAAACTCAAGAGTCTCCTCCAAGAAAAAAAACTGTTTATTACCCCAGGAACAGCTCGGAAAGGCATTACAGGGTGAAATCATCCCAGGTTGCTTCCGTCCACCTAGTTCTCTGAGTCCAGCCCAGCCAATTCTGTGCCTTATAAGTACTAATACTGTGCTACATGGCTGGTGGCTGCCATCTGGCAATCAGAGGAGACTTGAGTCTAGTGTGGGCACAACCAAACTGCTCTGCTGGGCCCTGAGCCCAGAGGGCATGAGCAAGTCTGCAGCACAGGTCCTGGAGAGCAGGAGCTGCTCCTTGGCACAACTGCCCTCTGCAGTACAAAACCATCTGGAAGCCAAGAGACAGCCAGGAGATCCCACAGTGCCTTTCTTGCAAGGGGCTGCTGGGAAGGTACTGCAATGCCTGGCAGGCACACGGACAACTCTAGTTTTCCCCTGGGTCACTGCTGCTCCCCAGTGCTAACAACACACGAATAAATCTTGTTCTAAATATTTTGTGTCTTCCGATTTCGGTAGATGATAAAGACTGAATATAGAAATGCTTTCAAGAAAAGCAAGTCAGAACAGATGGTTCATGTGTCAGAAATTTACGTAGTTAAGAGTCAGCAAATAAACCATCTAAGACTTCGCGTACGTAACAGACTATCCATAAATAACACTTCTGTACCTTGACAAGTAAGACAGGCCCTAAAACAGGACCTGAGTCAACTTAGCTTCACTGTGAAACTTAGACATTCATGGACCTCACATTTATTTTACAATTATAAAGATTACAGGGTCTTTTGGAAGTCCATTTTCACAGTAACAGCTCTTGACAGCAAATAACAAGAGCCTGGGTACAGAACTATCACACTTCACCAAATTTGTGATACTGTCTAGTTTCATAATGACAGAGAAATGTCTGATTGATGGGTGCCCTAAACAAATCAGAAGTGACAAACAAGTGACAAGCAAAACCAGGGTGTGTCCTGGACTACAGAAGTGAAAAAACCTACATGAAGTCACTTTATGGAACAAATACTACAGAGATAAATATCCCTGGCATCACATGATCTCACTGAAATGTAGCATTCTATATTTCTTCCCAGTTCCCATAGTATAAGGGTCTTGCTGCACAGCACAAAAACCACTCCTCTCCATTCAACAATAGCACAATCAGGTTTATCCCAGAAATCATAGAAAAATACTTGTATTTTCTCACCACCTCATAAATTTCCCCACCACCTTTTAAAGAGAAGTCTACTTTTTTAATCTTTCCAAAACTATCTCCGTAATGTTCAGCCTGTAACACATGAAAGCTCCTATTTAAGAAAGGTTTCATGTGCAAATATTTTTTACTGATTTGTATAAATGGCCTGACTATCTCAAAAGTGCTTTTTAACAGATCATTCTGAAGTAATTAGGTTTCCATATGGCAAAAGTGACTTTTGTTGACATAGTATAGTATAACCACAGTCACTTTGAAACAGCAGTGGCCGCAATTACTCCTATCAAATATCATGAAAACAGTTCCCCAGTTACACTCCTTTTACAATCTTGTCTTGTTGATGTGCATGCATGTGGTTTAATGCAGGATGTGAAAGTGTGAGTGAAACAGATGATGTAATCCTGGAAAAATGTTGTCAGGTTCACTTCTAAACCCAAAAGGGACCCTCTTACACCGATGCTCTGAAATCACATGAAAAAATGTATTATCTTTTTTTTTGTACTGTTTTTCCAAAATGAGGGTCCATAAATGTGTTAAAAACATGTGAGGTTTTTTTATACCAGATCTGAGCCATATTCTGAAGATTCCTAATCATGCCCTGCTCTTTGGATAGATGATTTCACTACATCTTTGAGTTGTCACTTACACTTGAATAAAAGGAAAAAGATGAGGAGTTTTGTTTGTTACGGAAGAGGGTTACACTTAACAAGACTTTCACAAGGAAAAATTGCTTTTATCACCTAGTGACCTACATTAACCAAAAAGGGGGGAAAATTACACTATGGAGACTGCAGTATCTAACTGCAGTGGTTTCTCTCATGTAACTATTGAAATTTGATTATATAAGCTAGAGAGAACATGCATCTATTTCAGAGCTTTTTTTTTTTACAATTTTGCTTTTAAATTGGCTACTAGTCACAGAGCTCTTTTCCTTCTTAAATTCTCTCGTTTTGCTCAGGTATTCTTAGAAAAGTCCTCATTACCCTTATAAAATCTGAATTAGCTTTTTAGGATAGGGAATAAAAAGAGTAGTTCTGGCACAATTTTCTCTGTAAATACAATTTTCCTCCTGTCTTTTATTAATTTGTTAAGCTTCAGTGAACTGAAGCTCACTGCTACAGAACTTACTCTTTTTGAGCTGCTCCAATTCACCTCAGCACATTGTGACAATACCCCTACCCAGCAATCATTTAATTGCTACTCTTAATTCTTCAGGGACTCAAACCTAAAATGTTTCAGATCCCATTTATAAATTATAGAAGTAGTGTCCCAGACACTCATTTC